AGCCCAACCATCGGCTAACAACCGTCGGCAGGAAATTAAAAACCATAAATTTCTCTCAGCGCTGAACGCTGATCATCAAACTCACATCCAGACATCATTACCCCCCCCGACACAAAGACCACCCGTCCTGTCTTCGTTCATCCCTCTGAGAACGTCTCCTTAGATGTGAGGAACATTTAGAAGTTAGATTTTCCCGCCGTCCAGCAGCTTCCTGACAGGACGGAGGCCACAGAGGAAAGGAAATCAATGTTCCTTCATTACCATGGAAACTCTCCCTACAGTAACCAAGTGAACTATCAGTCAGACAGCCGTGGGGGTGGGGGGGTTGCTTTCTTTAGCAGCTGTGTGTCAACATGCTGAACTTCACCACACAGCTTTACTCCACATCTGTTTGACCCAGTTGTTCTTTCTTCTTCCTCAGATGAAGGCCACCTCTGATGGAGAGGAGGATGAGGATGATGAGGAGGAATTTGAAGAGGTTCCAGAAAAGGAAGGATATGAGCCGCACATTCCTGAGCATCTCCGAGCTGAGTACGGTCAGTTTGCCTCTACAAACACACACACGTGTTGACACTGATCCACGGACACGTGCATAAACAGTCCGGAGGAGACCTGATGCTGCCCTGATCCCCTCAGACGCTCGGTAAACAAACAGGCCGTCAGACTTCAAAGAGGCAGCTGCTGCTGAGGAGCAGGTAGAAGCTCTGAGAGCCGAAGACAAGCTGCTCTTTGGCCTCATGGATTCCTTTCATTACCATGCTAGGCTCACTGATTGGGTTTCCTCAGGCCTCATGGTTGGCGCTGGGATGAATGTTGGTCTGCTCCATGCTTCCATGTCTGAGGATGGACTGAACATCAGTGCTGCAGCAGAGAGGCTGACTTCTTCATGGTCAGGATGAAGGTTGGACGTCGCTCTCCTCTGGCTGTTGGACGCGCTGGAGGAAACGCCGCCAACGGCTCGACCCAGTGGGATTCTCAGTGGTCCAGGGGACGGGCGGTCAGAGGCCAGCTGGGAACCGATGACGTTGGTCTGAACGGCGCTTCTGGACGCTCCTCTGATCCAACCGTTCTCCCTGAAGAGGGGGGGACACATAGACCGCAGCGCCGTCGCTCTGGGGGGCCCTACGTTTGGCCCCCAGGCGGCCTGCAGGTTCAGCTCCATAAGCTTTTCTTGCTGTTCCTCAGGGTGTCCGGCCTTTGCTGGCAGACAGGGGGCGGCGGCGAGCACCGCCACCGTGATGATGCTCAGTCAGCCATATTGGACCAGCGTGTTCTGAAGCGTGACGTCGCCATGTCTGTTAATGTCTGAATGTTACAATTATTGCTGGATCAGCTAGAAGGACACGACCTTTGACCTCTGGCAAACGCTCTCCCCCTGGTCTGTGGTCGAGTCTTTACCTGTCCCCCCCTCCAATCAATTAGAAGCAGAGTAATTAGATGCTATCTGCAGCAGCTGTGTCTGTGTCGGGGTGATTAGTCGGGTGAGGTAATGATCTAGAAGGGCCGCTCCAAATTAACAATGCAACCTCCTTAATGAGCCCCTATTAGCCCTGCACCCTGACTCTACCACCCACTCTCACCCACTGTCTCCCCCACTCCCACCTCAGTAACAGGCAGCGTTTGTTCTATTACAGCATTTTCTAAGCCAGACATGAAAATGGACTGTTTGTTGATCTGTGGATCCAAATGGACCCATTTAACAAAGGTTAAATATAGGGATACTTCTCACACACTCATTTAGCCACTTCAGTTAGCGCTATAGCGCTGATTTATGTCACGTCATCTAAGGTCTCTGTATAGATCCAGATCAACCAGATCATCCAGTCAGAATGATTCAAAGTTTTCTAAGGTTAACCAGCTGATTGCATCAGCTCATTGACTCTTCAGCAATCCCTCACACTAAGCATGCTTGTAGCGACAGTAGGGAGGAAAAACTCCCTTTGAACAGGAAGAAACCTCCAGCAGAACCAGGCTCAGTGTGAGCGGCCATCAGGACAGAAAAGTTTGATCAGACTTTCATTTTGTTCTATTACAGCGTTTGATCAGACTTTAGTTGTTTTGTTTGATATCTGCTGAAGTGGGGTTTCCTTGGTAACAGGGGATGACCTCACTGAGGCCAACAGCAGCTCCTATCTGATTGGTGGTTCTTCAACAGAACCAGTTTGAACCTGAACCAACGGCCGGATCTCTGGGATCCAGGGAAAGCTGTTCTGACGTGGCGTCTGCTGGTCCTCAGGTCCCAGACAAGCCTCCATCCAGGTCCATGTTGTTCTTTAAACGGATGGATGAGCGGCTGAACTCCTCTGTTTCTGCTCAGGTGTTCACGCAGACAGGTGACCTCTGTGGGAGTCAGCCTCCATGCCTGCTTCCTGCTCTGTCTTCCCTCCCTAATGTCAGTCAACTTAAAACCCGTAAAACATTCCTTGTAGTTTTCAGGTATTTTATCAACCCATCACCGTGGCAACCTCCTCCTGTCCATCTGCCTTCCTGCTAACGTCTCCTGGCTCTCCATCCTGGATCCAGTGGACGGTGGAGCTGGAGGTCCCTCTCTGCTGTGCAGGTGGACCATGGAGGTCATTCTAGTCCCTCTAGTCCCTGAGGTGACCTGCGCTCTGCTTTAGACCATGATGGCTCTGAGGCTGTATGTGGAACTAGGGCTCAGTATTAACCTATGAATCCTTAACTGGAGAATAGAGACTGTAAAACATGCCTTAAGCTGACAGAGCGACCCACATAGAGCAGGAATTATACCGGGATTATTAAAAGAATAAACATTTAGCATTTTAGATGTCAATCTGCTCTATAATCCAGAACTCCTCAAGTGGGAAAGTTTTAGTCTGACCCTGTTTCATTTCCTAAAACATCTTCTGTAAGGAAACTTTGGCTAAATAATCAACAGATTAATCAATTAGCAAATTAACCGTTAGTTGCAGCTCTGATCTGTAGCCACACCCCCTCTGGTCAGCAGCAGGCTGTGGACGGCGTATCGGCGCTGACGGCGGGCAGATTCAGACGTCCCTCCTTTACTCCCATCTCCTCTCCATCCTCACGGAGTCACAGTCTTCCTGTACGTGCGGCCGCCGTTCAGCCATTTGCGGTCCGTCTGTGGTTATCAGCTCCCATCCCTCCCTCTGCTGTCAGCTCCTTTCTCAAATTAACATTTTAATTACAGGCCCTGCTTAACCCTGGAAATCAATACTGCTTTCTGCTCTTTCACCCACTTTCTCCTCATCACCCC